GAAGTATCCTTAGTAGGAACAAGATAGTCTCTGTTTTAGCAGTCCTTTCTAGTTTTTGTTGAAACCTATCTTGATACTGAGGCGTATCTGTCCTCTCTGGCCATTCTTATGAAATTTGTGCCTTCAGAGGACTCTTGTGGAATCAGGGCCTTGATGGGACTGAAGTGTAAGATTGTCTCTTTTCCTGGTTTCAGAGGAACTTTGGTGAGACGCATCTCATGCTGTGCAGATGAGAATTTTTAAGTACAAAGGACAGACTGAATTAGACACATGGGTCCTTACTGACTTACCTAAAAACAAGACATAAGCTTTCAGGGACATTGGAGATGCAGTGATGTGCTTGCTCAGGGCTGATTGGTGTGACACAGAAACCTGTGAAGGCACAATATTTCTGGAGTGGCTCCTGAGGGCCAAGCAGGTTCATACAATCATAGAATATTTTGGGTTGGAAGGGACCTTTAAAGATCACCTAGTCCAACCTCCCTGCTATGGGCAGGGACATTGTTCACTGGGTCACGTTGCTCAAAGACCCATCCAACCTGACCTTGAACACTTCCAATGACAGGGCATCCACAACTTTTCTGGGCAACCTGTTCCAGTGTCCCACCATCCTCATCATAAAAAATTTCTTCCTTATGTCCAATATAAATCTTTCAGGTTTAAAACATTGCCCCTTGTTCTGTCAGTACAGGCCTTGGTAAAAAGTCTCTCTCCATCTTTCTTATAAGCACCCTTCATGTATTGAAAGGCCACAATAAAGTCTCCTCTGCTCTTCTCTAGGCTGAACAATCCCAACTCTCTCAGCCTATCTTCAGAGGAGAGGTGTTCCAGCCCTCTGATCATTCTTGTGGCCCTCGTCTGGACCCACTCTAACAGGTCCATGTCTTTCTTGTGCTGAGGACCCAAAAGCTGGGCACAATACTGCAGGTGGGTCTCATGAGAGCGGAGTAGAGGGAAAGAATCACCTCCCTCGACTTGCTGGCCATGCTTCTTTTTATGCAGCCTGGATGTGATTGGCCTTCTGGGCTACAAGCGCACATTGCCAGCTCAGGTCCAATTTTTCACCCACCAGTATCCTTAAATCCTTCTCCGCAGGGCTGCTTTCAATCCATTCATTGCCCAGTCAGTATTGATACTGGGGATTGCACCAACCCAGGTGCAGGACCTTGTACTTGGCCTTGTTGAACTTCATGAAGTTTGCATGGGCCCACTCCTCAAGCCTGGCCGGGTCCCTCTGGATGGCGTCCCTTCCCTCTAGCTAGTCAACTGCCTCACTCAGCTTGGTGTCATCCACAAATTTGTTGAGTGTGTACTCAATCCCACTCTCTGTGTCATTAATGAAGATATTAAATTGTATTTGTCCCAGTAAAGACCCTTGAGGGACACCAGTCATCACTGGTTCCACTTAGACATTGAGCCATTGACTACTGTAAGTCTTTGGATGCACCCATCCAGCCAATTCCTTATCACCTAACAGTCCATCTGTCAAACCCATATCTCTCCATTTTAAAGGCAAGAATGTTGTGGGGGACCATGCCAAAGGTCTTACAGAACTTCAGGTAGATGACATCTGTTGTTCTTCCCTTATCAACTGATGCAGTCACTACATTGTAGAGGAACACTAGATTACTCAGGCACGATTTGTCCCTGGTGACACCATGTTGGCTGTCTCTAATCACCTCCCTGTCTTCTGTATGCTCCAACATAACTTCCAGGGGGATCTGTTGCATGGCTTCACCAGGCAGGGAGGTGAGGCTGACTGGTTGGTAGTTCCCAGCATCCTCCTTATGTCCCTTTTTAAAAATGGATGAGATATTCACTTTTCTGTAGTCACTGGGGACTTCGCCTGACTGCCGTGACTTTTTAAATGTGATGGAGAGTGGCTTGCCAACTACATCAGCCAAGTCCCTCAGGACCCTAGGATGCATCTCGTTGGGTCCCATGGACTTATGTATGCTCAGGTTCTTCAGGCGGTCTCAAACCTGATCCTCTTTTATGATGGGAGGGACTTCGTTCCCCCAGTCCCTGCCTTGAGATTCAGGGACTTGAGATATGTGGGAAGAGTGGTTGCCAGTGAACACTGAGGCAAAGATTTGTTGAGTATCTCAGCCTTCTTCATGTCAGTTGTTACTAGTTCTCCTGTCTTATTTATCAGGGGCAGTACACTTTCTTTAATCTTTCTTTGCTGACCAACGTACCTGTAGAAGCCCTTATTATTATTTTTCACATTCCTTGCCAAATTCAGCTCCAGGTCAGATCCAAACTTCAGCTCCAATTCAGATCCAAACTTTTGATAGCAGACAGGAGATCTAGAACTCAGTTCTTGTGTAAATGGATTATTTGAGAAGTGTCATGACTTTATGAAAAGGCAACTTCTGCTTCTGATTAAGTCTGTTTTCACTGCTTATGCAGAGAAGACAGCAAGCTAAGCATTTCCTATTTTGCAACTACTAAGTTTGTTGAGCAAAATAGTTTCCTCTTTTACTGGCCTTTACAAGCTGCACAGATACTTCAAAACAAGTCATGAAGTTGTGCTCTTGGGATTATTCTTTTCTCTGTACATGTATTACTCCTGCGTTAGCTAAGTTCTCTTCCTTTAGAGCCCAAAGCTGTCTCCATCCATTTGGCCAATATTTCTTGTGCATCTGATTGGGTAGGTAACCTCCAAATTAAAGTTGTTTCAGGAACAGGAACTGTAACAGGAAGGTATTTTTTTTGACAGTTTAGTTTGCATAAACAGAGAGGGAGTATTTTACACTACATTCCTGTGTCAAGCAAGATGTATACCACATCTATGGTAAACATTAAAGTTTCTATAGGCAGTTTCTAGAAAATTCTGACATTTGGGGACTCCTCTGATACTCCATGCAGTTATATCACCTGTATCAGTAATCACAGATTTGAGTAGATTCATGTCACCCTTATTTCAACTATCTAAGCATGGAAATTATAGTCCTCTAAGCTCTGACAGGAGCTACTAGAGAGGTACAGCCCCTGCCTGAGGGCAGTGTATCCCAAGCATCTTATATGCCACTGTCTGTGTTTTCCTTCACCACTGCATAGACAAGGCACCTATATGACTTGCCCAAATTAGGTGCTAGTTTTTAGAAAGCTAATGTTAGTGGAGATGAACCTCAAGCCAGCTTCTTGCCCAGGCAGTCATCTGTGGCGTATCTCTCTTTGTCTTTCAAAGGAGTGTAAATCGCATTACAGCTATCTGTTGTTTCTTATGAAAACACATATGCTCTATTTTGAGGCGGTTCAACTGATTTGGTGGACTATTGTGGACTATGGGTAGAAGGAGAGGAGGAACTGCTTATTCTTAACACTGCCATGAGCTTTTCAGGAGGGAAGCACTGAATGCTTCACCTTGTGCTGGTAAAGGTTCATTACCCAAAACTTCTGGGAAGAGAGTTCTTGAGCCTGGGAAGACATCAGTACCTACTTCGCTACTGTAGTTGTCCCACTGTTACAAATCAAGGACAAGCTTAAGACCTTTCTACAGGGAGTAGCACTGTGTAAACGAATAGATGAAAAACTAAAAAGTAGTAAACCTTCTGCATGACATTTTTCAGGCAGAGAATATAAAGTGCATGTTTGGAAATATAGCACCTCCTCTGCACATGGGGCAAGTTTTTCTGTTACAGCAGCAAACATGAATGGTGCATACTCAAGCATATGCAGATACATTCCTCAAGGTAATATGCTAGACTTTAGGAAAGGATTTGCCTACTTCCAATGGCCTTGGGGTAAAAAAACCTGAAACCCTTCATTCCTTAATTCATTTGTTTTCTGAACAGGTTCTTGTTCACAACCTTATGACAATGTTTGTGTGAAAAGAAAAGGAGTTTCCTACAACTAGCTTAGTAATTTTTTAGTCCTCAGTTGCCACCTTGCTTGGTGCCATCTTTTTAATTGCCAATTCTCTTTTAATTGTTTGTGCTAATATTTTATTGACTGCATTTGAATGTCTTTAAAATGTTATTAAAAATCCAAGTGAAACAGGATTGTGGCTGTAGTTTTGAAATTCTTCCTTGAGAAATCTGTGACATCTTGAATTTTGTCACGGCGCAACTCATGGTGTGATGCCCAACACTTTGCAGTGTCCCATCCACAATAATGAAAGATCTGACAGAATTTACTCCTCGTTGTATGAGAGGGGTAATATATATGAGACTGTTAAGAGAATGAGGTACAAGATCTGTTCATTTAAGCAACATGGAATTGGCATATACAAAATGGCACTACTTCCTGCCTCATCAAGCTCAAAGTATTTGCTGATTCCTTATAAAAGGATGTATAAGTAATCCTTCCTTTTAAAAGGTATGTTTAGTCTCATTATTGGGTTTTGTTGGGGGTGGGGGTTAAGGAGTAAATGGATATGTTTGTGATCAGGAGAAGATTCTTCATGTTAATCCCAGGTGGAAGAAGGTATCGCTGCAGAGCACAAACACCTCACAGGTTTGCATCTACATCTCCCTGAAGTCTTGAAAAACTTCACGGCTCTGCACTTGGGTTTCTCTCCCTCTCTGGAGTCCACAGGGAAGTTCCTCATGCTCTCCACTCCTTTGACAGGGCACTGAAGAACATCTTTCAAATAGAAATGCTACAGCAGGGTACTGAAGGATGACAGGCAAATGTTTCAGCTTGTGGCATTGTGGTAGCAGTGTCTCCTTTTGAATAGGAACAATTCAAAGCACAAGGGTAGCCACTTTAGGTGTCAGCTTGTACTAGAGCAATGTAGGCTCTCTTGAGACTTATTCTATCAGCTGCAGCTATAATCATATCTTTGGAGGATTTTTCCATGACAAATTCTTCATTGAATCTGTCAGTGCAAATATTTTCCAGTGTTACTACCTAAAATGAAGGAGGTAATTCCTAACCCAAGCAATAACCAGCTGGAGTTGCAGGTGTCTCACATATCTAAGCGTGTGCCAAGATCCTCCAGCTCGGAGCAGTCACACAATTTTTCCTCATCACGGATATCCTTGTGTTTGCAGGCATGAATGGGTCGGCCATTGAAAACTTCTCCTGCATGATTTATAACGTTTCCTTCATGAACTGCACTTGGCGGGCAGGCAGGGATGCTCCAGGAGATACCCAATATTTTCTCTACTGGAAGAACTCGAGGTAAGTAGGTCTGCTTGAATCTAGGGAAGTCTGAAGTCTCATTCAACACATCACACTGCCCACGTTTAACTAAAATACCTTGCTATATACAGATATGATGATGCAATGGAATGTGAGCTTTACATTAAAGATGAAAATGGCAGAAACACAGGATGTAGATTCCAAAATGTGAAGATAGAGATTGAAAAAGCTTACTTCCTGGTGAACGGGTCTAGCAAAGACTCCCTGATCCAGTTCTATGATGAGTACATTCAACTGTATAAAATTGGTAAGTAAATAATTTCTTTCTGCTTTATTTTCATTATTGCATGAGGGTAGTAGAGCATTTATGCCTGAGAAGGAACCAAGTACCCTGTCTCACCTAGAGTCAAAAGTAAGAGACTGTGGCCTCTTCAGGAAAACCTATTATCCAAGCAAAAGAGCAATGAGGGAAATTAAGCAAGAAATCTCCACAGCTGCAGCCTGACTCAGATTCTTTAGCAATCTGCCCTTATTGTTTTTAGGTCTTTCTCCAGCAAGGTCCACAGGACTTCAGAGATTGTACTTTCCCTGCTGTCCTTTCAATGATGGCCAAAGACCTTTCAACAGAGGAGACTTTTCAGGAGAAGTTTAGCTGAGCACTGATTTCTCCTTCCCATTGCCAGTGGGGATGGCATACACCGACACCATACCCTTGATTAAAGAAATTAATATGTGTACAAAATACCCCAGGTTTTAGTATGTTCTTTCACATGTGGTGCTCTACTTGGAAGCATCCTGTGCAATTACTGTTACTGTGGCAAAGCCTTCTTGGCAAAGTCCCACTGTTTTTGGTATTGCCTCCAAAAAATGGACAAACAAGGCTTCATTCTATAAGGAGGAGGAATTGAGCTGTAATATCACTCATGGCAGATGAAGCAAGACTGTTCTTTGACCAAACAGCCCATCACAAATAAGCCAGGCCTGTCTCTAAACACTGGTGTAAAGTAGCAGTCTAGCTGAAACAAAGGTTTCCTCTGTCAGTCTTTCATTCACCCTTTCTGTCATGAGTGGCTGTCTTTTGCTGTTACACTAATCAAGTCCTTGGCAATGATAAAAATATAAAGGTCCTCATATTTTTGCTCACATCTGTGAATTCAGGGGAGATATCTGAAGAAGTTGGCTAGATTCTTAAAACTGAAGTGTTATTCTTAAATTTGTATGGCTAATTTTTTGGAAGAGGGGAATAAACTGCATAGTTCACAACACCAAGCAAGCAACACCTTCATGTTACAGAAGCATCGTGTGAGGAGGCTTGAAGGAAGAAATGACTTTTGGATTTCTTACATTAGGGTCAGCATCAGCTTGTTCTTCTGCGGTAAAAAACATACTTATAAAAAGAAGATGGGACTCTACCTTATTCATCTAGAAAATAAATGGAGGGGGTTTGTATCTTTGTATGCTCCTAAGTCACGTTCCCTGGCGTAGTCCCTGTTTTTTCTGATCCTGGGGACAAGATTTAAAGAACTTCAGTCTTTAAATTATTTCTAACAGAGTTCCTAAAAAAAATAGATACAAATTAGTATCTTTCTTCATAGAGGTGTTACTTGTAATTGCACTCTCTTTCATCAAAGCAAAAAGAGATCGAGTGATTTTAATTATTTGAATTCTTGGTTATATCATTTCAGAGAAGCTCATGCCTCCATCAAATATCACTGTCAACTGTGATGAAATTAAAAAAGATTGCATAATTCAATGGCAACAACCCCAAATAAGTCATTCTAACAAAGACAAGTGTTTTAAATATGAAATCAACATAAAGTATAAGGTAAGAGGAATTTCTTCACCTACATTTAACATTAATACATATGTTTGCATTTACCAATACACATGGATAGAAAGAAAATCACTCTCTCTTGTATGGTGCAGCCTTCCTCATACATAGCACCATATTCCTTTGTAGCTGTGCTTTTCAGGCACCCTGTTATGCCATGCTGCCCCATTTTTTTATCCCTGTTCCCCTGTGTGAGATATTGCTGGAGATACACTGGTTGACTGTGACTGTGTGGGACTAAGAGGAGAAGCACGATTAATCAAGACTGGAACATATCACAGCTTTGGCTGTGACAAAATTCAGAAAAGGCACTTTTTTCACTAAGACCTGTTGGAGCTGTCCTGAATTGGAGTCCTGCCAGTGGTGACTGCATCTCTGTGAAAGGGCAGAGATTAGCTGTAAATACTGGACAGAGAAATGTGCATCCACTTAACAAGTATGAGATGATAGAGGTGAATGAAATTTCTGTATATATGAAACGTAAATAGTTTATCCAGATATCATATATAAGCAACACACCTGTTGGTCCAAGAGTTGGAGCTGTACAATGTTAAATAAAAGTAAAATAAATGTGAGAGAAAGCAGAAAGGCAGTGTGAATAAGCACAGGTTACTGAGGGAATCCTTTAAACTACTGAAAGTCAAATTCAGACCTTGGTTTTACAAGTCATTTTGCAGCAATAGGGAAGGATTGAGATTGCTGTGTTCCGATGCAAGAGTAGACCTAAGCTACTGTAACTGTGGCAGAATTGCATCAAATGACCACAGGGTGGCAGATAGTGACTACAAAGGAAAAACCTGCCTGTACAACAACCAGATTTGGCCGCTTAGTGGCTGATGGAAGGCATTCCCTAGGTTTCCTTTATTTCGAACTTCTTAGTCTGGATCGGGCTTGCTATTTCATACATGAGTTTTCTTGCAAGCCCAGCTAACTGCTACAAAACTGCATTACTTCTCCGAATCCCTTGGCCGTTGCAGCAAAGAAAGCTTATAGAAAACTCTGTGTGACATTGGAATAAAAGTGTATTGCAGAAAAGCTCAAGCCTCCATCAAATATTAAAGACTTCTTAAAGTATTTTAATATGCCTAATATTCGGTTTGTAAAGAATATTCAATTCACACGTAGTCTGAATTGCCTAGCATTTTTTAAATAATCATTAGCAGTTTTCATGTTACCAATTATGTCAAGGTCCAGCAATTGCTGTATTGCAAAATTCATTGTTTTACCACTGCCTGGTATAAACTTGTACTGTTTTACTAATACACTATGACCAACATATATTGTATTACAGTTAGCCTTTAAACTTTATTTTCACAATTAGAAATTACTTGCATTGGGAACAAACAAAAAAAAAAGAGTAACATAATTTCAATCACATTTTTTCATGTCTGACACCAATAAACTGAATTTGCTGAGAACCTTGGATTCTTCTTCAGCGGTGTTTTAAGTTAAGGCTTTATAGATCAGGATATCTGGGAAACCTGAAGGCAAACCTTACCAGTGAAAACTGAGCTAAAAAGGTACCAGATACCTCAGCCTTTCCCATGTCCCTTGTCTCTAGGTTCCCCCAACTCAGTGAGCAGCAGGCCTGCATTCTCCTTAACCCCCCTTTTGCTGCCAGTGCACTCACAAAAACCTTTCTTGTGTTCACCTCCCTCACTAGTCTCAACTCCAGCTGAGCTTTGGCTTTCCTGACTCCATTCCTGCCTGTGCAGATGATGTCTTTGTATTCCTCCCAAGTCTCTTCTTCTACCTTCTGCATACTTCCTTTTTGTCTCTGAGCTCAGACACAATCTTCATGTCCTGCCATGCTCACCTGGCACACATGCTCGACTTTCTGCACACCGCAATGGACCATTCTTGTGCTCTGAGGAGGCTGTCCTTGTAGATCAACCAGCAACTTTGCCTCCAGGGCAATTTCCCTTGAATGCACATACCTGTGGCTGCGGCTGCGGCTGCGAGGCTTTCTCAAGCTGCCTGAAGAGGGTCTCATCTGCTTCCTTTTCTTGATCAGGAGATCTGGAACAAGCACCTACTACATTGACAGCTGTGTTGGTCTGTCCTCTAATGCCTACTCACAAGCTCTTCCTGGTTGATCATTTGTCCCAAGACAGAGCTCTGTGTATTCAAGGCACTCTTTTACATAGAGCACAAGGACCAGGTTAGCAAGCCCGTTTGCAAAGACACTCTCACCCCACTTGGTGAGATGCATCCCATGCCTGCTCAGTAGCCCCTGTTTCTCAAAAAGGATCCCAAGGTCATAGAAGCCAAAGCCCTGCCTGTGACACCAGCCACTCAGACAGGTGTTGACCTGCTGGATGAGTTCAATTCTACTCAAGCCTTTCCCTCTCACTGGAAGGACTGAGGAGACACCGTCTGGGCTTCCTGCCCTTCACCATCCCCCCAGTGTCCTGCAAGCACCCTTGAAACCATCCCCAGGTTACCCCTGGCCATATCATTGGTGCCCACGCAGAAGAGCAGGAAGGGGTAATAGTTCAATGGCCAGACAAGTCTGGCAGTCCTTCTGCAGCATCCTGGATCCTGGCCCCTGGCAAGCAATAGACCCTCATCAGGTCAGGTCAGTAAATTGGTGGTGCTATCCCCTGCAGGAGGGAGTCTCTTCTGAAGTCTTCCATGACCTCATTGTTTTCATTTCGTATATATTATTTTAGTATAAACACAAAAAAGGGAGACTATATTGTTGCACTTTCTCCTAGATTGATCCCTGTGCTTAAGCTAGCTTGTTTACAGATTCTAGAAGCTGTCCTGTACAGCAGCACACCTTGCAAACTCATGTTCAGGTGCCACATGAGCATGCATGCAGTTATTTGCTAAAACAAGTTTGGATTAATTTCATTTTAAAATGGAGTAATACAGAATGCAGAAGAATTAAAAAATACATAACTCCGGCAGGCTAATGGAGATGATATAATCTGCAGTCATTAGTTGTATGTGGTCACTACATTACATGGTAGTCATTATGGCTATTAAGAAGAGATGAGTGAATTTTATTCTATCCATCAAAAACGTAGTCGGAGGGCAGCCTAAAATATCTGTGAATCCATGTCAGTCCTGAATATTTTCATCTGAGGGAAAAGGAAACAATATTTACATAGTATTTGCAATTAAATATAGTGACATTTATTGTAAAATAGAAACACTAGATGTAAAGTAAAAAGTTCATTTCACAGATTTTTATCTTTTTTTTTTTCCCCTGGTGTGTGTAAGAATAAAGTTACAGTTTTCATTCAGGTCTGTTTTGCTTGTGTTTCAGTTTAATCACCAATCTGAAATAAAATTTATTTCTCAGCTCTGGTGGTAAGGAAGACAAATACTCTTCCATAGAAGAATTAGTTACTATATAAACTTGGCATTGTAGATGAATAATATATTAGATACTAAATGTTACATAAAGTACTAGTTCTTCTGAAAAACTGTCAAGTAGATAAGAAAGAGTGCAGAAAATGGGGACAGTAGATAAAAATGACTTATTATTTAAACACAAAACAAGCAATCATAAAAATTACTAAATGTCATAAAGTACTAGTTCTTCTGAAAAACTGTCAAGTAGATAAGAAAGAGTGCAGAAAATGGGGACAGTAGATAAAAATGACTTATTATTTAAACACAAAACAAGCAATCATAAAAATAAAGGTTTTCTTCTCAATTTACAGGATAATCCTGAGGGAAAAACCAAATATACTTCTATACAAGTAAGTCTGCTTGTTCTATTAATCAGCAATACATGTTAGTTTCATAGTGACTTGTGAAAAGTAAATAGTACGCAAATGCCTTTAAATCAGTATGTGTTCAATGTCCTATGCTTTATGGGATCTTTATAAAATTTATGAATGTGTCAAACTGCTAAATCATCATGACATATGTCATTTATTATATATTCAAGTGCAGAACTTTATTACTATTCTGTAAGTATTTTGAAAAAACTTTCATTTTACATTATATTGCCCACTCTCCACCTCAAATATTTGGATCAGAGTTTGAAGTTACACATCAGTGACAGCAGAGAAAAGAGACACAGAGAAAACACCTCCTAGGAACTTAATTTTGTTTATGAAAAACAAAGACCACAAAAGTCCTTTGGGATCCTTTGGGATCTTTTGGGATGGAGGCTGTCCTCCAGGTATGCTGCACCTCCTTCTAATCAGTGCAGCTTGCACATCCCACCTCTGTCCTGAAAGCAGCCACGAGCAACCACGTTTCAGTAAATTGTAGTAACGCTAAGTATCGCAGTCTTCTACTTGTTTTACAGGTTTGGCTGGAAAGTTATGCTTTTCCTGAAAAGTCATAATGCAAAGACTGAGGAAGGTGAGGTGCACGCAGTTTATTCCTCAAATCACTCAATTCTAGCAGTATTGAAATGAGACAATTCAAGATATTTTTCTGCCTCTGTCAATGTGCCAAGGGAAATTTTCAATAGATCAGACTATATCGTAAGAAATTACAGGATATAGTTTAAAAGACGAAAAGCTTCTAAACATAAAAAGTTTACTGAGTGACAGGTTACTTTTTAAAGGAGATAGATACACACATACGTACGTATTATATACATAATAAACTTGCACATGTTTATTTTTTGCTTTGTAACAGCAGTCTACTTTAACAAGCAATGATCTCCTAGACTTGTAAAAGTTTCACTGGTAAATGGCACTTGCATATTATGAACACCCAGACGCGCAACAAAGAAAAACAACTCAGTTTTGCTTTGGTTTTAGGAAGGGGTGAATAGTCACACATTTCAAAGATCCAATACAAGAAAGAGGTACCTCCTGAAAATGAGAACAGCTGGCAGTGCCTGCCTTGTGAACCCAGCCTGGGGGGAGTGGAGTGCACCTGTGGAGTTTGGTAAGAATGAAAATCCATGCCTTGGGCTACTCTCCCCCCAGCGATGTCCTGGCCACCTCACACATTGCTGGGCATCTACGGACACACAGATATATAAAGGCTTGGCAAACATTTTGTTTCCCTCCACATTACTGAGAAGAAAAGGAGGAAGAGAATTAATCCATCTCTTAATAGTCTGACATTGGAAATCAATACAAAAAGTTACACATTTGCAACTGAAGTGCGTACTTGCGTACCGCAGGGGATGGGCAAACAGGCTCAATGTCAATCCTTCCCAGCAGACTTTACTGCTAAGGTGCTAAACTAAAGAGCTGATTTTTATACCAAGTGAAACCTTTCAGACTGACATTCACCAGTCAGTCACGAGAGTAGATATTTGACACAGCTGTACATCTATTCCTCTTTATTAACAATAGTACTTTATGACTCTTTCTCTTTCAGGAAATGAAGAAATTATTTCTTCTTCAGTATGGATTTTACTTGTGGTAGCAGTTGTGACCCTCTTAGTGGCAGTCGTTGTAATTTTGCTCTGCAAAAGGTAAACTTAATTTATGCATTTATTTTATTTTGTGTGGATGTGTGAAACACCTGCAGTTCTTAAACAAATAAGGTAGAGGTGTCTCTGTAGCATAAATAAAACTTTTTCACTCACACTGTGGTAGAAATCAATCCAAATGAGTGAGCCTGAAGCAAGTACTGTAATGGTGATGACCAAAGTCCCTCCCTGGCTGATCCACACAACTTTTTCCAGGGCCTCTTCTGTCAACATGGCAAGGACAGCAATTATATGCGATTACTTATATTAACAGCACAGCTGCTCTGAATACTTGCAATGTAGACTGTCTACGCAATAGCTCTTCTGATTTCTTGAACTGCTGAATTTATTGCAAACACACGGGTTGATTGTACTTAGCTGTAAAGATTTTGCAATGTTCACTAGAATTGTCCTAGCAAACTGAATGTATCAGAAAGCACATAAGCTAAGCAGCTTGCTTCTTGAAATAAACCATGTAAGTGAAACAGAAAGAAAAAGGATATTCCGCCGTATCATGCACTTTGTATAGAAATATACAGTAATTCAGAGAAGATACTGTTCTTCCAACTTGTTAAAATTTTTACACCTACTTTTCACTGGTTGTAGTGATTTAAAGAGCAGGACAATTGGGAGTTCCTTTTCTTTCAAAGAAGAAAATAACAACTAGTGAATCCTTAACCAAAAATGAAACTATTACCATCCAAATTCTTAGTGTTTTCGTGATATGTGTTCATTCTGTGCTGACATGATGTATATTTTTCATTTCTCTTCTGTCCTGGAAGAGGAAAATAAGAGCTGGTTCAAGGGTGCAATGGTTTTGACACATGACAGTTACTTAATTTTTCTTTTCTATTCCATCCCTTTTGATCTCCAGGACTGGCTGCTGGAAAGCAGCATTTCCACAAATTCCAGAGCCAAAAAAATACATTTCGTGGACTGCCTAATACAAATCCAGAGGTATGTTCTCTTTCTATGTTATATTAAATATATGAAACACATACAAGACTATTGCAGGTATTTTCTAAATGATGAGGAACTTAACACAGAGAATAACTCTTCTCTTTGCCATATTTTGAGGAATTGCAAGAGAAAATCAGCAGGCAAGTTTGTTAAGGGAAGTCAAATGCAGTCCTCTTCCAGACTCCGGGGGTTTCTTCCGTTTAACAGGTACAGGGACTGATGCTCCCATTGGTAGGTTCAGACAGCAGCAAGGGCCATGCGTTTTCCCAACACGAGGCACACACATGTACAAACACACACACAGAGGACACTAATGCAGCCATCCACAAAAAGACCAGCACGGGTGCCTTTGCTGGCACCACGTCAACACCACGAGCAGTCACATAAATAGGGTCGCAGACAGCCTGCTGCTCCTCTCTGGCTGAGCAGGGCTGAAGTTTGCCAGCGAGACGTGCATACACCCTCACTCTCTTCATTCACAACAACCATAAATTCGCAAGTTCCTCACATCCGATCTCTGTGTCCGGACCCTGGGTGTCCCCCCCAGGTCACCAGCTCTCACCTTTGGTCTGTCCAGTTGCAGGTCTCTCCTACTCACCCACCAGTCCAGCTTCAATGAAGTTCGCTAGCAAGTTAGACACACAGGATAGAAAGCAAGGTGACACAGAAAGCAGTTCAAAATAGGATTTTGTGAGGTAACAGGACAGACTGCGGTGGTCACACACAGCGTATGACCAGACCAGCCTACCGACCAGCAGCTCACTTGCGCCATTTTCTTGTCCAGCAGTTTATCATGTTATGTCCAGTAATTTCTCATGGTCTGTTCAATTAGCTAAACCTCAGGCCAATGTGTACGCATCTACTTTCATACCTTAGCAAAGTTTATCTTTTTGTATTAATTTGTTTGAGATGATTTGTGGTAATCTGCGTGGTGCATTGGAGAAAAGCACACGTTCTCCCTGTCCATTTCCAGGCCAGTCAAAAATCATGTGTCAGCATCACAAAGTTGCTAAAATTTCAGTTATGTCCAGCTAAGGAAAGCTTATCAGCTAAGAAACAAAGAAGTGAAATATTTCTATAAAATATGCAATAAAAGTTGAAATACTCTCAGAATTGTGCATAAGTAAGTAGAGGCTAACCTAACCTTATGTATAAAACTAATGGAAGTTTTTATTTTCCTTTCAGCTGATGGAGAGCAGAATTCAGTCAATAACATCTGAAAATGAAGAGATAATATTAGTTGCTGACATAGTGAAATAACCAAGGAAAACTGAGGAATTTGAAAGTGCATTTTGTAGCTCAGGCAACTGCATATTCCTGTGGAAAGTCTGTGGAATAACATATAGGCTTTCTTCACTTTCTTCCTTTTCTTGGCAAAACCAGTAGTGCAGCCAAGAGAGAATGATACCTCACCTGTAATTTTTTTTAAATGCCATGGTATTTGCTTTTGATTTTGGCTAACTAACTGTTTGGGTAACTTGTCCTTATTGGATATCTTCCATTTTGTGAATATGAAATATTTCAATCAAGAAGTTTTAGTTGCATTTTAATTTGTTTACGGAAAAATAATGGGTTTGTCTTATATTAAAAAGAATAAGAATTCATTTATTGAGACAAATAAAAATAAATTAAAAAAAAATCTGGTGCCTGAATGCCATCGATCTACTGTCAAGAACGGGCCTATTCATACTTGAAGTTTCCTCAGATCTCTTAAAGTACACATGGGCAACTAGAAAATTGAGAATAGGATTGAAAACAGGCTGACACATTGAGTGGTGGCCTGTAATCCACAGGAATCTCAAAGGACAGGAGTATGTCTAAAACCCTAACTAATCCTAAAGCTTAAGTGTGTTACAAGTTAAGAGATCAGCCGCCATTAACTTGGTATCAGCCCAGAATTTACTTCTGTAGGTATCTAGCTCTTTATGTTCTTACTGCTCACTTGCCTTTCTACTACTTTCATTCCTCTTTAACTTCCCAGTATTTTAAAATATTGAGTGTGTGACTTAGTTAATCTCTGTGTCCTTTTGTTCAGAGGCCTTTACTACTCAGCTGGACAACAATTTTTCAGAGCCATAGGGTTAGGACAAGGTACTGGGAAAACAGCCCAGGCTGTTGTTGAATGCAGTGACCGGTTATGAACGACGCTTCTCAAGGATCAATGCTGAGACTCATAGTGTTTAGTACTAACAGTAACGTGGACAATGGGGTGAAATGCAGCCTTAGCAAGACTGCGGATGACAGCAAACTGAGGACACTGCCCGATATACTGGAGGGCAGGCCTGCTATTCAGAGGGCTCTTGACAGGCTGAAGAAATGGGTTGATAGGAACCTCCTGAAGCAAATGCAAAGCCAAATACCTGGGAAAAACTAACTGCATGTATCCTAGAGAATGACTGACTGACAGGTCTGCAGAAAAGGCTCTGAGGTCCTGGTGGGCAACAAACTGAACACAGATCGGAAGTGCTTCCTTATGGTAATGAAAACTATCCACATGTTAGGCTATACTGGGTGGAGTGGAGCCAGCAGGTCAAGGGCAGTGATTATTCCCTCTACTCAGCACTCATGAGTCTGCACGTGCAGTTCCGTGTCCAGATTTCAGCCTTCTAGTACAAGAAAGACATTGGCAAACTGGGTAAGTTCAGCAGTGGGGCACCAAGATGATTATGGGGGTCTGAAGGAACTGGGATTTTTCAGCCTGGAGAATAGAAGCTAAGGGGATTTACTGCTGTCTTCCACTGCGTGTAATGAAGACAGAACAGACTTGTCTGGGAGTTGCACAGTGTGAGGATGAGAGGGAACAGTCACCAGTTGCAGCAAAAGAAAGTCCAGTTTGATATACGGAAAAAGAATGATTTACAGGTGAGAGTGGTTGGATGGTCTCTGGAACAGGTGTCCAGAGAGGCTGTGAAATCTCCATCCTTGGATATATTCAAAACACAACTGGACAAGCAACAGGATCTGACATTGAAGTTGGCTCTGCTTTAAGTGGGAGGCTGGACTCAATGACCTTCAGAGGTACATTCCAACCTAAATATTTCTCTAAATATTTCTCTAAATGGCTCTTGTCAAAGCTGGTCAGCCTTTCTAAGTCCCTGTTGTGAAACAATGGTAGCCATTTGTACACTTAAAGCAACTGGGAGAGCTGGAGTCGTACTAGGTACTGGTACAGTTGCCCAGATAACTACTGCGTAACACATGCCTCTTCCACTTGGGAATAGGGCTTGACTCAGTAGGATTTTGTTTCTTTTCAGTGCTGAGCTGTCAGTTTGAGCCAGCACTTCTTTTTCTTTTTCATTTCCTGATGCATTCTCCACCTAATATATAGCCTTAGGGGTAGGGCTTGGGGAAGCATTGGAAAGCTAAGTATTGGAAAAGATGAGAGGCTCAGGTAACTCATGTGTTTTGGTGGTCCCGCTGAGGTAGGAAAAGGAATAATGTCCTTTAGAGCCAGTTCTTCGTTTTCTGTTTCACTGACTGGAAGGGCCCTTTGTCTCTCATGAATCCCAAAAGGAGTACTAGTCCTTGCAGTCAGAAAGCATCATAAATTGTGATTCTTATTCAAAGGAGAAAGCACTGAGGCGTAGTAGCAAAAGGGGAGTGCTTAGGTCTTCTTATTGTGGAGGAACGTAACCCATTTTGATAATATGCTCATTTTATATAGATGTAGGAACATGTTTCCCACCTTCTGATCCAACGATACTGCAGACCAAGGAATTTGAGAATTGTGCAGGTCATTATCAGAAGGGAGAGGGACTAGTCTGGTGAGAACTTTTGTCCTTTTTAGGGTTCAGACATTTCCAATAGCATTTACAGTTCCCAGTATGAGGTGAGATACAGCTGGAGAAAGCAGCCTGAGGAGGCCTAGGTTCTTCTGAACACTGGAGGGTTCTCAGGCTTGTGAAGAAGTATCATATCTGCACAAGACAACAACTACATGTATTCTCTGGAAAGTGCTATACCAAACGCTGAGACTTTGAGACAAGCACAGACTTACATTTCTGTTTGAGAAAGATCAGACCCTTGTGCACAGAGCAATGGTTCATCTTGGAGGATGGGTACATTAGGTTTGGACCCACTGTTTTTCCTCTTTCATTTTCTATGGGAAGTATATACCCAATCTCTGTTCTTACAGGTTCACTCCTGGAAAAACTATAAGCTCCATCAAGGGTTTTCAGAAAAATATTTCTGTTTCTTTTGTTGGTCACGGGTGTCTGACATGGCCTTACCTTGCCATAAATTCTTTTGTATGGATGGAGCACTCTTGAAAGGCCTAGCAACAGCCTTTTCGGAAACATGATAAACATAAGGCAACCATTTCTAAAGAGACGTGAATAGGGATATCTTCTGGGATATTGTCCTTGATGTAGGCTCTGTTAGGCCATTTTCTCAGAAGCCTGGGAGAGCTAAGGTTTACTTTGCCATGTTTCAAATTTGAGATTATGTTCTGCAGGAGAGGTCCTGCTTTAGCGTTGCTGGGTAGAGTACTGTAAAAGCTCTATCACCTGTTTTCTCTGCTTAGAGCAGTAGTATCTAAATGTGGCGGGCTTGAGAGGTTTCGATGTTAAATGTTGGATTTAGCTGACCATTGCAGCCAATCTCTCTAAGTAAGCTTTAAAAAACTGTTACCATTTCAGCCCTTAATGTTCTCCTCTCTTCCTAATAACACTGGTCCACAGGTTCTGCTAATGCTTTTACTAACTCACAAGTGGTTACTCTTTCCAATGCTAGATTGCTCGGTTTCTTTACACTCTTACTTTGCTGGATCCCTACACTGAACTGCTCATGCGATTTATCAGCATAAGTGGTTTCAGAAGAGCTATCCTGCTGGTGGTGTCTTCCCTGTTCCAGAGGACAGGTGGAGTTCTGTCATGCTCAGATGATGCAACCTCCCAAGTCAAGCATTTTTAGACCAGACAGAAAAATCTTTGGAAATTTATCATATAGCAACAGCAATATACAGGAGCATAAAGGCCATACCGTATCAGATTAGCATGTCAGCATGTTAGGATTTTTCTTCATCATGTGTGCAAATTTATATTTTTGAACATTGCACATGAAATTGGCATTTCATCTGCCAATTTATCGTTCAGTCACTCACTATTATCAGGTTATTGAACGCCTTCACAGTCATTTTTGGTTTCTATTATCTCCAACTACTTGTAACTATCCATGTGAGGATCCTGCTCTTATCTCAGGGCAGCTTAGACTTTTCTCCTGGTCTAACGATGCAATGTTGATTTTTTTCGCTAACCCCTTTGACTGGCACTTCATTTTGAGCATGATCTTCCCTCGCATTCCTCTTGAAGAAAAGTCCTAGCATGACAACATCCTTGAGGGCATCTGTAGTACCAAATACTCACTGACACTTTCTGCTGTCACCTTACCTCCTTTAACAAATCTTTTAATTTACCTTAATCGTCTGTTTGCTCAGTGGTTTCTGACTAGATTCCTTTTCTGGGAAATGATTTATTATTAGAATTATTTTATTCCTTTTACAGGTTGTTCCATAAAAAACATTTTTGGCCTGGCTTATTTCGCTCTTGTATTTATCCCGTCAGAATTCACATGCTTTCCTGTTTTCCGTCTGTGGCGAGGGCTCCAACTTTTTGACAAATGCCTTCTTACTTTGTACAGCCTCCCTCATCCTTTTACTTTGCGAAGCCAGGATCAAGGAGATTTTTCTTTTTAAAGAGGCAAAAAACCCTACTATTTGATCTGTTTGTACAGGAAGATACCAGAGTGGGCATAGCCATGTCTTTATCACATACTGCCATAGTGGCTCCACATGTGAAGGCTTTGTAGAAGCAAAGAATATTAGGTAACATTTCTACAGAATAACAGTATTATTGGTACTTGGCAAAAACCTAATTTCTGCATCTCTTACGAAGTATAGCAATGGGCAGACAATGTAAGCCCTTGTAAGCCCTTGTAAGAGCTAAGTAGTCAGTAGAGACCGTGAGGTCAGCACAGAAGACAAGAGGCAAATACCCTCAACTCCTGGGTTGTCTCCTGATACCCTTGACAGAGATCAGGAGCACAGCATCAAACTATTTTACTGGTAGAATTTGATTTCTGGGCTCCTTTCTTTGGGAAAGAAGTGTATTCCAGCAAGGAAGTCAGAATTTGAGCAGGTAATAGCAGAGCACAAAGCTTCCATCTTCGGTTAAAGTCTAATTCCATACAAGGCTCAGCCTTGATTTGGAGTTATACCAGAAGAGTCTTACGATCTGACTCCCCAGTTTGGATGGTTGGTCAGTGAACCATCTACT